AATTAGCCAGCGCAGCATCGGCACGACGAAGAGATCGACGCAGCACTATCACTGGCTGTGTTGTTGTTGAAAAAATTGCTCTAAATATTCAATTTAACAACAATTTGCAACTGGCTTTCATTGCTGCACCATAAATATAATATTTTATTCAATACATTGACCCTGTATTGTGTTGTACAGATCTTTATAGTTTTGGGGCAAGTGGAACCCCTGCCTGTTGTCATCTATTATCCGTCTGTTATTATCTATCTTTATTTGTTTTTCTGGGGTCGGATCAGAATTAATCTACATCTTTCCGATTCGTATTGGCGTTGAGTCCAATAATCCGGTCTTCAGTGTATGGAAGAAAGTTTCCGTTCAAATTTCACCTCAGTTAGGTTCAACACTTACTGGCAGTAATCTAAAATCGCACAACACAGAGATTTAAATTCCCTAGAAGATTAATCAAACAAGTTACCCATCCTTTTCTTTTTAACTCTAATCATTATTCAAGAAGAGTGCGATGATTCCGTATGGGTACCAAGGTTAACTTTGTGAGTTGATGTGACCACTAATTCTTTTAAAAATTACGCTTGTCTTTCTTTTACAATGAGTGAACACAAAGAAGTTCCATTAAATTTTGTCGCGGGATCAAAATTCCAATGCCGAAATGTTCAAAATGTTGGAAAAGGCCTTCGATGATAATTGTTTGTGGCGAGCAAGTGTTTTTGATTGGTATAAATTATTCAAAGATGATCGAGAACGCGTTGACCACGAACCTAATCTAGGACGGTCATCAACTGAAACTGATGATTAACACCTCAATAAAATAATGGAATTGGTTCTTGAGAATCAACGATTAACAGTCAGATATTTGACAAACCTCGTTGGAATATCGGTTGGGTCAGTCAAAACCATTTTGAAAGATCATTTGGGCATAAAAAAGTTAAAGCACGATTGAATCCAAAACCACTAAATTTATCGTCTGTAAAAAAATGCTTTCCGAGTACCAAGATGTCATAAAACGTATTATTACTAACGGTGAGACTTGGATCTAGTCTAGACCTGGAAGCAGACGGCCGAATATCGAGGCAAAGGTGGTAAAAAATCAGGGTTATATTGACAATTTTCTTCGATTATGTAGGTGCRGTGTACTCCGAATTACTCCCGACCGGCTAAACTGTTAACAAGGAATACTTTTTGACTCTTATGCGTCGTTTGAGCTAAGCTATTCGTAAAAACGTCCCGGAATTATGTTCCGACAACTCTTAATTTTTGCTTCACTATAATGCACAGCCGCATACTGCATTGAGTCGTCGAGGATTTTTTGCCAAATTTTCAACTAATATCGTGCCGCAAACACCGTATCGGCAGATTTAGCTTCGTGTGACTTCTGGCCTTCTAGCTATTCAGTAARCGAATGATCGGAGGAAACCGTTTTGAATCAACTGAAGCAATTGAACGTGAATCGCCACGTGCCTTGAAGGCTATTCCGGAAATTGACTTTAACAACTGTTTCAGAGATTGGAAAAAACGTTTGCACAAGTGTATTGGTGCCAAGTGGGATCACTTTGAGGTCGACGTAGATTTTGAATAATAAATTAAGATTTTTGAACTTATGAAAAAAATCTTATTATTTTTTGGCCTTAGCAGTATAAATGTGCAGCGTGTCGAGATCAGTCGATTTAGCCATGTYTGTTTGGCTTTATATACGCGAACTCTAGTCATCCAGTTTTTGAGATATTATTTTAAAGTTTTGCACGCGTCCTTTTCTCCTCGAGAAGGTGCTCATTTGCCGAAACCACCAAGCACCAATTTCTTGTATTGAAGTTGTTTTGTATTGTTTTTTTTTTACTAAAGTTATCGTTTGCACGGAAAGACGGACGTATTCGGAATTCAACTCGTCTCGTCATCCTGATCTTTTATGCATATATAACCCTACTTATTCTGAATTACTTTTAGGTGAACAATACTATTGTATTATACGCGCTTAGGTCGTGAAAGTATAAAAATTGGCACTTAATTTGTTGCGTTTTTAAACTCTATAACTAATTGCGAACTATCGCAATTTTGTTGCCAAAGAATTTTCATGAGTGATTTGGCTCTCAGGGAATAATTGTAATACTGAAAACTTTCAGTTAGAGTAATAGCAATAGCAAATAGTACTTAATGTTCAGCTCTGGTAAAAGTAATATATATATATTTTTTATATTATTATTGTTGTTTAATATATTTGAATTATACTTTTTTGAAATTATTTTCCTTACACTCGGTTTATGATGTAAATGTAAATGCCATAAACATTAAAATTAGGCAATTATTTAGCCCAATAACATATTGTTCTGAATTTTAGACGAACGGATCATCGAATATGACATTGATGCTTTGTTGTTTGAGGAGCGTTCGCCCTTTCAAAAAATCCAAATATTGCATTCAAAGACTTTGGGAAACATGTTGATTTTGGATGAATTGCAAAGTGAGTAGATGTAATTTTMAATTCCTTATAAATAGAATAACAATGACTATGTTTTAAATTCAAACTTATTTAATTTTGACCTTATTTAGATATTGCCGAATCTGACTTAATTTACACCGAAACTCTTATGGGTCGTGGTATCGAAAATTATGAAGGGAAAGAGATTTGTATACTAGGCGGTGGAGATGGTGCATTACTTTATGAATTACTGAAGGAGAAGCCCAAGTTCGTCGTGATGCTTGAAATTGATGAATTGGTGATGCAAGCATGTAACAAATATTTAAATACGATTTGTGGTGATGTACTTGAAAAGCGCAAAGGTGATAATTATGAAATTGTTGTTGGTGATTGTGTGGAGTACATGAAGAAATTCATAAACGAAAATCGAAAATTTGATTATGTTTTTGGTGATCTTACTGATATTCCAATATCTGGTGCTCCCGTTGGCGAAATTTGGGATTTTATACGAACAATCCTCGAACACTCTTTCAAAATATTAAAGCCAGATGGAAAATATTTAACACATGGCAATGGTACTGTTTGTACAGAATCCTTGGAATTATTTGAAGATCAATTGCGATTGCTTAGACCAAAAGTGAACTTTACAACTTCTAAGGCATTTGTGCCTTCTTTTATGGAAGAGTGGCTATTTTATCAGGTATCCTTGGCTTGACCGACTGAAATGTCCCACAATTCTCATAATATATTATGTAATCAAATGCAACGGCTATCTTACCRAATTACCTTACGAAATTATATGGTTAATTTCTTCAACGAGACAATTTTGGAGCCCCGCAATACTTTATGGAAAATTGAAAGTTTATTTCCATCAACTCTGATCAAAAGGGGGTCATGGGTATGAAACGCAATGTACCATTTACGAGTTTCTTAGTTTAATAAAAAATGTGGATTACTAATTTAATTAAGATTCTGTTTAAAGTTAAACCACCAGAGTGATTTATGAAAATCGTTGAGTAATTAAATTACTATTATAATTTAAGCCTAATTGTAATTCAAACACAAAGCTAGGGTGATACCATAAATCTTGTTACTTATCTCAGTATACACATAATGTACTAATAATTAAAACTGTTGAGTACTTAACGTATGTATGTACATATATTTTAGTTCAAATACAAATAGAAGTCAAAGTCGTATGCAGAAAAAAACTAATAATCGTWTGGTATGAATTCGCTGTTTTATTTAATATTGCATGCATAATTAAATATTAAATATCCTGATTTAAATAGGCGATGTATATGCGGTCCACAATTTTCCCCGTTAAGATGAGTAAGCAATCTTCAAGTGATTGAAAGGAAGTCATGTATAAATACCATTCCGAGAAAAAGTCTACAAGTATGTCTGTAGTATTTAAAATCATTAATAACCATAAAAAACAAAGTATTTTCAAAGAATAATTAGTTCTGGAAACTTTTTAAATTAAGTTCCCATTTTCATATCATAAAGATAAATGAAAAATACGCAGTTTATCTGCAGTTGATATCTTTAAATACATAAATGGTGACGGCGCTAAAAAGGTCCTCCATTGTGCAGTGATTCCGACATTCTACGTGGATATAATCAAAAACTAAAAAAATCTCGTTAAACTATAAGAATCCTATGATTAACAAAAAAATAAAAAAGGCGGCGTTTAAAAAAATGGTGAGTTTTACTCCAAATTTTGGACGTTTACATTTACGTTTCACATTTACAGAACAGGCCGTTCATTTACTGAAGAACGGATCATTTGTCTTTAAACTATCACTGCAGCAAATTCGAAAATTGCTGTTTCGCAAAAAACGTGCAAAAATATGAAAGGTAAAAAAATAACTTTTTTTTAATTTCATACTGCCCCTTAAGTTGATCTCAAGATATAAACGTCTGAACTCAATCAGGACAAGTGCCTCACTTTATTTTTGGGGACTGTTCTKGTATATGTGAGTTTTAAGTGATGATATCCTTTTTTAATAATGTAATAAATAAATGGCCTGCTAGTAACCAGTTCGAAATTATTTGCTTATTATGCTTTTTTTTAAGTAAAACCAGAGAATTAAATTACAAGGGTATGCCACAATAAACGCTTTGCTTCAATGTTGACTAACATTTTGCTTGGCTTCGCGTCGATAGCTTTTCATACAAAAACATCCATCGAACTTTTCTGTCAAAACAAATGTCTGATGCCAAGCTAAGTTCTATGTGAACCAGTCTTAATGCCAGAAGTGCTCATAGTCGTCACATTTATATGTAGGATTTCTTTAATTACATTCTATGTTTGAAAGTGGTAATTAAAAAAAAAAAAGAAAATATGGAAAACATAAGCAAAATATGAAATTAATAAAGGTTACAAATCACTTACTGTATTTTTGTTGTAAGGACTCATATTTGTGACACTCAAAGGTTTGAAATTTCTGAATGAGAAAAGTTGTTTGCTTGGAAACTGTTCAATTGCATATATCGGTTCAACATATATCTATCTATCGATTTATCGATTTTTTATAATTTTATATGGCCTAGATACATAGCTATATCATGAAATTGTTCAAGCAAATGTTAGGCGATTTGAGTGATACCGGCTATATTATGGGTTTTTGGTTCGCAAGTCATTTACTTATGTCKCAAGTCACGCATTCGCCCATTCAGAGACAAACTCGTTGTAGCACGATACACTGTGCACGCAATACAAACAAACAAAGTACTTAGGTAATCTATAAAGCATTTAGTAATGGCTAAAAGTAGTAAAATTAAGTTATTTTTATATTGACAGCGGACATTAAATTAATACATTATGGAAAGAAAATTGCATAGTGGAATTCATCATCCAACCCTGCGAATGCTGCAAGAATCAGGGTGTGAAATAACTCCACACAATTTGATGTACCCGATATTTTTGATAAGCGATGACGATGCAATCGAACCTATTAAAAGTATGCCAGGTCAATCACGAATGGGTGTTAATCAATTACGGAAGTTCATAGAACCGCTGATATCCAAAGGACTCTCCTCAGTTCTTCTCTTCGGTGTTGTAGATTCTTCATTGAAAGATGATCGAGCTAGTAATGCGGATTCTGAAGTAAATCCAGTGATACGAGCATTGCCTCTGTTGAGAAAGTGGTTTCCAAACCTTTTAATAGCATGTGACATATGCCTATGTCCGTACACGAAACACGGACATTGTGGTATTCTTGATGAAAATGGACTTTTGAACGCACCGAGCATTGTCCGTTTGGCAGAGGTTGCTGTTTCCTATGGGCTTGCGGGAGCACACATTGTAGCTCCTTCAGATATGATGGACAATCGTATTCGTGCAATAAAAGAAGCTTTGATARCAGCAAACTTGGACAATAGAGTGTCTTTATTGTCTTATTCTGCGAAATTTGCATCGAACTTCTATGGTCCTTTTCGCGATGCAGCGAAGTCYGCGCCAGCGTTCGGTGATCGACGTTGCTATCAACTTCCAAGTGGCTCCAAGGGGTTGGCTATTAGGGCTGTTCATAGAGATGTTATGGAAGGAGCAGATATGTTGATGGTTAAACCGGGTATGCCATATCTAGATATATTGCGACAGRCAAAAGACACTTATCCAAGTCATCCGTTGTATGTATATCAGGTTAGTGGTGAATATTCTATGCTATATTTCGCTGCCGAGAATGGTGCATTTGATCTAAAAGATGCTCTAATGGAGACTATGAAAGGATTTCGTCGAGCAGGAGCTGATTGCATTATAACGTACTTCACTCCAACATTGTTAGATATATTATCAGAACTCAAATAGCAAAGAGTAAATTTTACACTTAAATGTCGATGTAAATTTATTGACACCTAACCATCTATGTATAATTTCATTATACTGATCGCCGAAAATTAAAAATAAAATTTTTTAATATTACTAACAAACGAATCAACGTGTTTTGTTTTTCCAGTAATAAATAGAACTTTAAGCCTAAARGGTAAATAATGCATATTATATTTTAGCTCAAAAATTTATTCAAAGCATTCTAGTTAATTTGAGATGGGTATGCCTTTTTTGGTTTATAAAAGGAATCTACATTATCGAATTTGGATTAAATATAACTAGCATTTCCACGTATAAATATTTTGCAGAAATAACCATTTAATATTTTTAATCAATGTTGTTTTTTTAAGAMTATCAAAAAGAAATTTTGATTGAWATTAATTTTTTTTTTCATAAAATATTCAATTGTTATACTTATTATACACCCATTGTCTCCATTTATTGTAAATTAATGTTTTAACTCAATTTGATTGACATAATTAATTTCATATTCATAATGAAAACGTTTATAAAATAAAAACAATAAAATCTATTCAAATCCGTTATAAAATGACTTCATTTTATTTAATTGTGCAAAAATGTATGTGAGGGTTTTATTATTTCATTCATATTAATACACGACTTTAAATTATGAAGAATTTTTTGTATATAAGATATACAAACATGAATGTGCCATTATTAAACGGGCATTAGAATAAGGCGGAATTTTCATAATACTGAACTTAACGCTAACAAATCAGGATGTTTGTTTTTAAACCATGATTATTATTTCAATTTACTATGCTCTAATATTTCATTGTTTTGCATTGGCTCTAAATCTGTATCTTTAATAATCTCTGATAACCAATGCTCTATATGAACTGAACTGATTGGTTCATTGCTTTTGTCATTTTTTAGAAAAATGTTAAGATTTTCAAAATTTTTTAAAACCAATTGTGGCTCTGTTTGTAAAGTTTCTTCCAATAAAAGTGGATTTGGAATGTTTTGCTCGGTTGAACCCTTTTGTGGATGTGATGGTAGTGTTTTTCTAAGTATTCCCATATTAACCGGTGGTCTTTTTTGATCCATATTACGTTTGATTTCATTAAACAAGCGACTGTAAAAGTCACAAGTTATTTCAACACCTTTTGCGGTTGCTCCATTATTACCACAATCATTATCTTCGAAAGATATGGTTGAGTGACTATTTATGGGGACAACTGATGCATTATGTAAATGTTGATTAGACTGTTTCTTTGCTTCAATGTGACCCTCTGCATTAATTGTGTATTTGTTTGTTTTTTTCGATTGGGATCTAGAACTTGAATTACTTGATTGAATAGAGGACGAATCCAATGAACCGGGTGTAGAAAGTTCTGATATATCTGTCATGTTCTTATAAACTTTCACGTCATCAAGATGGTCACAATTCTCATTACTACAATTTATTGTTACGCTGGAAATATTACGAAGGTTAATAATTCCGTTGCAATTGTTAATGGTAACTCTTGGTTTGTTTCGAACAGCTTTTGGTAATCTCACAAAAGATGTGTCCGATATATTTGACATGTTGTTAACAGTTTCGTTTCTCTTAGTATAAGAATCGCGGCTCAAATTAGATACAGCTTCAACAATAGGAGATTCCACGTCATCATCCAACTCTTCCAAATTTAGTTGATGGATTGGAGCTTGATTTATCACTTGAGTTCTTCTTATAAGTTCTTTAGCTTCCTCAAGTGTTATATTTACTATGGAATCATTTATATATTTCACATTATGTTCAATCAAAGTTTTATCTTTAGAAAAATCAACCGAAACCGAATCACATACTTGAGAAAATTGTTTGTGTTGAGGTAAGAAGTTGCTTTGATTTTCATCAGATTGAATTTTTTTGTACATTATTTCATGGTCACAGTTGGGAGTTATATAATCCTCTTGCTTAAGAGCTAACATCATGGACCCCAGTTGAAACCGGCCGAAGGATCGAATCGAACGTAGTAGTTCAGCTTCATCTTCAAATAATATCTTTATGTCATAATCTTCATTTGTTCTGGATTTAAATAGAATATTGTTTTCAGCCCCACATTCAGTTAAATGCTGCTTTGTTGATGTCACTACTTCCAATTGCCTAAGTAACAACTTTTCCCTCATTTGAAGTGCCGCTCGCAAGTCCGCAAACTTTTTATGTATACCTTCTTTTAACTACAAAACAATACTTTGTTAAATACTTAATAACATATGATATCCACTATCTTACTTGAAGTACTTGATCACTTTCATCTCGGTTGTTTTCCATTTCGTTATACAAATGTTCACAAAGTTCAATATTTCTTAATATGCCATTAAAATAACATATTTCCCTAGTTTAGTATTTATTTGATTTCTACTAATCGGTTTCACTAGAATGTCAACAACAGCTGGTTCTCATTTTTGATATCATAAGCATGCGCTTTTTATCTGATGAAATATCGATAATTTACCTAAGGTAGGAGTGCCAACATTTCTTCAAAATGTCAATTAAAATTTTAATCACGATACAAAACGAATATTTATTATATATAAAATCTTTTCGTTGATAAAATGCAGAGGTATTTCAAATGCTTGAGATGACGTTTAGTAAAATCGTATTAAATCGCCACATTTATGGGGATTCGTCGTCACTATGTCAACTGGTAATTCATGGACTATGTGCCACCAGATTTTAGGAAGATATATAAGAATTTTTCCTYCTTAACACCACAAATATTCCACTTTTTTATGGTAACTTTTGAAATCTTATATTTTTGCTCTCAAAGGAATAAATTATGTACAAAATATTTTTCATATATATAATAAAATCTGGTGGCAAGACTCTTTGTGCACAAATTTTGTGTATGTGGTAGAATGTGGATCGTTTTGCAAATATTTAACCAGTTTTGTTCATTTCGCATTTGTCGGTAATGGTGAAAAGTGTTTTGATATTTCAAGAAAACAATTCGAACGAAACTATACGCCTTTAACTCTTATTAATTATATTTATATGAAAACGATTCCCTCATTTTCGAGACTGTTTCGATTGCTGAAGAGTTTGGTTAATTTATAAGATGACTTGTTAAATTAAGTTTTCGCAAATGGAAACACCCAAATTTCTTGGCCTATAGTCGTGGGACAGCATGGTATTTTTTGTTTCGCATTAATATTAGCCAAATTATAAAAATGAAATTGGTTTCTTTTGTGGCGGAAGAAGTGTTATATGAGGTTAAAAATGAATTTATTTTTTTGTTCGTGTACATATTAAAATAATGTTGATGCATCTTATTGAGCAAGGCGAAACACCTTTATGAATGTTCTTAAGTGTATGTATRGATATGAGCATCAGAAGTTTTTACTGTGTCTTTATGTCATATAGATATAATTGGTTTTAGACTATATGCATATTTTATGTTTGAAAACAAATAAGTGAAGCAGAGATGTYCTTCATTTGATAAAACGAACAGGTGGTGTCGCACTCACATGATTGGAGTAAACTCGGATAATTGTGAATCCGCTAAAATTCCAACTCTAATTATTTTTAGCCTTGATAAATTTGTGAACATGCCCTTTTATGTAAAGGCTTTGTTATGTCTGTGTGTAGTTGTGTGTTTACTTTGAAAAGGTAAATTTTCATAAGGAAATATWGCAACAATGTGCTTGGTACTTGAATCTAGAGTACATATATACATATGTGCATTTCAGCCAAACTGCGCTTAGTCAAATGTGTCACAAGCTGCAAGGTAAATTTTGTTAACTCGATTAAAAATAGTTTATTTACGGCACCTTATAAAAAGTATCTTACGGATAAAACAACAACGGTTACTAATTGTCAGCAGATGCAGTATTGATATTAATAGTGTATTCCCAACTTTTGGTACAGAAATTTTGTTTGCACGTGAAAATTCCTACATATGTACATATATATGTATGCATATACATAAATATATATGGATACCTCGATTGTGGCAAAAAATGTATCATTTAGAATCGAGAGTATGTATTTATGGTAGTGCGCGGCACATAATAATGTTCTTAAAAATGCAAAATTTTACTCATAAGAATTCAGTTTTTCTCAATGTGCAATAATCGGTGTTAAAAGTGATGGTATCTTTTTTAATAGTAATCGGCCCCACATGAATAATATTTGTGTTCCTTTCTATGTACATACATATTTACATACCCATGTACAGTTAATGGAAGTATTTTTCAATTGGATTTCTCTGAATACAAGTAAGTAATTGTAATAACAAAGTTTAAAAATGCAAAATTTTTACTATATATTACATATTAATACTCTCAAGTTTTTTCGGCTAAACGAATTTCCTTTTTGAAGTAGTAATTATAATTTGTCTAAGGGCTATATATCTCAGGTTTTTATTCTTAAATGAGTATCAATAAAGTTTAAAACAATGGTTTTTATATTACGTTCAGCTTTAGCCCTTCCCACCATGATTTTCTATGTGATTCATTTTTACATTACTTAACGAAAGAAGTATCAAATCAATCTGTTCACTTTTAGGCGAAATCCCTTCTCTGGGCATTGCTTGACTTATAAGTACATACATACATATGTTTGGCCTGTGTGCACTTTTGTGAAAGGGGAGAGAACACCATAGACCTTTTCCCTTGTTATTGTTGTAGCGGCAGAAAATATTCTTTAAATTTGTTAATATATAACGCATAAATAAAAKTGTTCAAAAATAAAACAATAATTTATAATATATTTTATACATTATATGTATATTATTGCCAATTAGTATTGATTTCCTTCTTTCACCTGAATTAAATTATGACTGTCATGAATGTTTTATAGATATGTATTGAAATCTAAAAAGTTGAAGATTTACAACAAACACAATCACTCCAGTGTTATTATGTAGAATSCTCCATTCCGAATACGAACTGACATTCAATGACTCTTTTGARAAATTGAGAAATCACGATTCTTATTTGCGCGTACAAAACAAAAAAAAAACGAACTATCGCCACTTTGATCACAACTGTAGAATTATATGAACGCACTATATATGTACATATGTACATATGCATGTATGTATGTATGTGTTGGTGTGTGAAAGTGTATGAATATAAGGATTAAAAACTACGGCAACTACTTTGACAATAGCCGGGCTATTTAACTATTGTTTATATTGTTGGCTATTTGTATGCTAGCTTTCCGTTTTGTAAAGGCGCCTAAATAATTGTTGCACATCCGATTGCCTTATTTGTTTTTATTCAACAACGGTGACTTACAATGTGCAATCAAATATGTATGGCACTTTCAATTGTGCCTTAAATTGTGCTAGATGTAGACAAATCTAGAACAATAAAAACATGTTTTGAATGTAGGTTTAGTCGGAGAAATTATGATTATTTGTGAAACACTTGTCCGGGCAAAGGATTCTTAAAAGTAATTCCAATCAGTTATGTATGGATGTGAGTAAACTCCTGTGCATTTATCCTTCAATTAGCTGGAAAAATAAGAGTTAAGAAGTCCAATAAATTTTTTGTTTCCCTTTCAGTGAGTTTTAGTTGCTCGGTTCGGAAAATTTCCATAATAATGTACTACATACGTACTTACTGAATATCTTAACTTGTATAAACTTTTCCAAATCAGAAAGAATTATGCACTTGTCCTTAGTTCCAACGGAAAACCTTAAGTTGCAAYCATGCCGAAGTAACTCAAGCCCCCTATACTGACCATACAGTATCGGACAAAACGATTGCAACTGAAATATGCTAATGCGAATAATGTTAATTACACAGACCGTAATTGCCGGAGACCTGTTTTAATTTTTTTATGTTGATTAGGGTAAATAAAACAAATTTATTAAAAAAATGTATTAAATTTAAAA